TTTTTTTTTTTTTTTTTTTTTTGTTATCTTCCACTCCACTCCAATTGTACTTGAAACCCCTCAAGCCATGAAAGCTTGAAAATTGCAATAGGTTTGTGAGACTTCAACTCACCCACCTCAACTGTTTCAGCAATATTCCACTTGGTTGATAAGATCGCACGCGTATTACAATTGCGTTTCTCACCCTTCACAGATGACGGTTTTATTAGAAGCAACAATTGTGAAGACCGTAACTTTGGGCTTCTCATATTTTCTTCTTTTTGGCATATTCGAATCCTGCCACATGTTACGATTTTTAGTTCTCAAATGTAATTCTGTAATGTTGTGCATTTTCCCTGACCGTATTTACTTGAATTGGATGGTTTAATTTGTTCGGATATTTGCATATGGCTTAGTTCTTAGACTATTAAATAACTTTAGAGGGCTTTGATACAATGAATTTTCATTTCTAACAGACTTTAACGTTTCTCTCCTAGTCATTGGAGAGCTGAAAGATGGACAGGACAAGACTGGATTTAAGTGTTCATCATTCAGTATCGACACAATCAGAGGAATCTGCCTTGGATTTAGAAAGGAACTACTGCAGTCATCTTAATATGCCTTCATCAAGTCCATCGCCTAGTCAATGCTTTGCTCCGGGTAGTCAGCTGTCTGAGACCAATGCTGCTTACTTTTCATGGCCCACTTCCAGCCGTTTAAACGACGCTGCAGAAGATAGAGCAAACTATTTTGGGAACCTTCAGAAAGGAGTGCTTCCTGAAATTCTAGGCCGGCTGCCCACTGGGCAGCGAGCTACTACTTTGCTTGAGCTAATGACCATAAGGGCATTTCATAGCAAGATCTTGCGTCGTTTTAGCCTTGGAACTGCAATAGGATTCCGAATCCAGAAGGGCATGCTGACAGATATCCCTGCTATTATTGTCTTTGTTGCACGCAAAGTTCACAGGCAGTGGCTCAGTGATGTTCAATGTCTACCTGCTGCACTTGAGGTTGGAAACTCAACATATCAAGTTTTTTATTTTTACCTCTGTTAGAGGTTATTCATTGTCTTTATTTTAGTCTACCTATGGAAAATCATTTTTAGTGCTGAGAAATCATAGAATGATTACTGATGTCTATATTTCTTGTGAGGTCCATAAATTTATTGGGCTTGAATATCTTTCCAATATTTGGTTGCTTCTTTCATTCTTTTCCTTGTTTATTTTTCCCAAAAATGATAATTGGGGTCAGGGACCTGGAGGTATATGGTGCGATGTTGACGTTGTGGAGTTCTCCTATTATGGTGCTCCGGCAGCTACTCCTAAAGAAGAAGTATACACAGAGCTTGTTGATGGCCTGAGGGGAAGCGATCCAACAATTGGTTCTGGTTCCCAGGTACCTTTTTTCCTTTTTCAGAAAAGCAAAATTCTTGTAGACATGTTTTTTAACCCTAGGAAAATGGTTATCATAGTTGGTTTTGTTGAGGATTGTTGGAGTTCTAATTAAGGCGAAGATCATGGGTATATATGTAAGGGACATTATCTCTATTGATATGAGGCCTTTTGGGAACCAAAAAACAAAGCTATAAGAGCTTATGCTCAAAATGGACATTATCATGCTATTGTCAAGGTCAGTTGTCCTATCAGGTTTGTGGAGAACAGTATTTTGCATCTTATTTTCTTATTACTGGATAAGGTTGTTAGAGAGAGGATAGGAATTTTTTTAATAAAGAAATTCTGGATGTCTCATTTCTTCAAAGTCTGGTTTTTCAACCAAGTCTTTCTCTACTCGGTCTCTTTTTGAGTTTGAAGGTTAATGTCATACTTTTCCTTTCTTCCTTTCTTTCTTTTTTCATAGGAAAATGTAAATTTCTCCACCAAAAAGATTTCAAATAAAGGAATTTATTGCATCAAAACCTCTAAATTCTGATTTATCCATCCTTAGTGCTTTCTGATTTCATACAGATTGACAATGAAGATTTTAAATTTTTTTAGAACTCTCAGAAAAAAGTTAAAATACTTTAAACTAGTTGTGAACATGAAATAAATCTTTTAGAGACCATATGGTTTAAGGTTTTTCTGGATACTGATAGGTAACCTATGCTTGAGAATAAGGCCTTGAAAAGAAGGTAGCTTGGGAAATGATTGGTTCTATATGGGAATGCTGTCAAATTTTCACAAGGATAAATAATGTCCAGGTTTATTATAATTTTTTT